GGGAATAGGCTCCAGCAGGAAACCCAGAGGAAGCAGGTGGGAACTGAGAGACTACAGTGGGAAATGGGAAAGACTACAGAGGCTGCTGAGCATAGGCAGCCTCTGGGCGCGGACCCTGAGTCTTTAAAGGAAAGACGAGGCAGAGAAGGTCTGGCGGGAAAGACTAGGAGTGGGAACATGTGGAAGATTTGAGAACTCTGTTTTGGGAGTCTAGGGAGAACTGCTGAACTTGAGAAGAGTTTTTCTGATAATTTGAGTTATAGGCCAGAACTGAAGAAAAGGGAAACCGAGGCAGGGATGCTGCAGAGTGACCGCAGGCCATGAGCAAGCTCTTAGGAGGCAGCTGGCCCATGGACAGGCACCTAACTTCTTTATGTTGCTGTGATAATCCCAGCCTATGCCGATAGCTGGAAATCTGTTTTGAGACACAGTGGGTTTTAACCTGATGATGTCCCTTTGAATGTCATTATGTTTAATGCAGGTTATTTGTAATGCAACGGGACAAAGTTTGCATAGGAGATTTTCTTTTCTCTATTCATTTAATCTGGCATTTGGCCAGGGTTACAATCTACTGTTTTCTCTGTTTCTACAACAGCAGTACTAACAGCTATAGCATGATGTCTGCCTATATCCTCAGCAAACTTAACGAGAGCTGTGAGCATGTGGCATCTTGGCCCCGACTCTGTGCCATACCTTGAATCACAGGCCACGGGGGTAAAGTCCAGCTTGTGTTTTGTTTGGAAGATGAAGGTCTTGGTTCGAAGCTCCAGGATAGAAAGTGGTTGGAGCGGAGTTGCGATGGCAAACAGAGCCAGCTGGGGAGGCCTGAGGGTCCCATCTTCTGTTCTCTTTTGCTGCCCATGGAGGAGTTTCAAACGGCCGTGGAAATTCAAGGCCTTTGGGGAAGAAGGAAAAAGTGGGGATGACAAAGATATACACTAGTGACATGGATCATTCATATCAAAATCTCTCCATTCAACTCCCCACCACTGTAGCATCTGGGCACCACACAGACATTACTGAATATATCCCTCGTGAGCTGGGGAAAATTATCCCTGTTTCACAGATGATAAGACACTGCCATTATCCCTACTGGGCACATGAGAAACAGAGGCACAGTGAGATTTGCCCCAGGGCACACAGAGAGTTGAACATGGTTCTTCTGAGGTTCAGGGCAGGGCCTTGGCCACCAGGCCATCCTTCCTCTTACTGTCTCATCTCAAAATCCCAATGTCCAGAGAAAGCTTGAGCCTGGCAGAGTTCTGTGGACTCCCCACAGCGTGGCATGAATGGGGAAATATCCCAATACTCCCCAACAACTCTGGTCAGGTTTGCACCACCCCACAGCAGAAACTAGCACCTACTCGAAAAGCCAGGCTCAGAGTCTGTTCCCGGGGGTGTGGCTGTCATGGGACAAGTGCAGCAAGGGAGCAAGACCTAGATCCTCAAAGGCATTTAAGCACCTAGCTTCCATTGAGAGGTAGGTGCCTAAATCTCTCTGGGATCCGATCCGAGCCCAAATGCCTTGCTGGCTGGATTACCAGGAATCCCGAGGAGTTGTCCAACAAGCAACGGAAGCGACAGATGAAGCTTCTTTCTAAGAAGGAGGAATTCTCAGGTGGCAGGTGCTGGGGGTCATCCATGGTGGTGGTGCTGCTGTCTACATGAGGCATGGCTGGGAAACCAAATCAAAACAAGAGAGAATGTATTCATCTGGTTTGAAATCACTTCAGAACATTCCTGTTATGCTGAGTTCTTAATGTCCACCAGGCATGGAGGAAAGGCTTGGACAATGCAGTTTGGAATGAACGAGCCTCTTGGAGCCTGTTCTCCTCTCCATACACATGCAGCGATCCTGTTCATCTTCTCAGAAGACACTCGAGCACATTGGAAGCTGAGCAGACCCCTAATTATAGCACTGTGTGAGAGTCAGTTGGCATTCCCAGCACAAGTGCTTCTTTTCTGGGGTCTGTCCCTTGGCTTTAGAGGGATGATCTGGCATCAAGCTTGCCAGGCACTGTCTCCGTCCAGAATAGAATAAGGTGCTGTAATTGATTAAATTGGAAATTAATTCAGCCCTTTTAAAGTTTCATGCCTGTGAATAATGTATCATGCATATACACAGACGCACCCTAAGGCCCTGATTCTCCAAAGACTGAGACACATGCTTAGCTTTCTATATTGTTTGTAACCACTGAAGTCAGCATGCACGTGCTTAAGTCTTTGCAGGATGGGGGCCTACAGGCTATCATCTAAGCTTGGGTAGGTGGATGCCAGCTAATGAAGGCAAGAGAGTTCTTTTCTCTTACATCAGCTCTAGACATCCAGTGGACTGCTTATGTGCTTATGTGAATCCAGAAGCTTCAAATTAGGTGGTGAAATCTGTCAGAAGAAATTAGCAGCCCATAATAGGGTCTGATAATTTTTTCCTATTTAAAAAAAAAAAATAATGGCCAAACATACATGATTACAGTCAGTCCCAGGGCTAGTGCCGCAAGCATTTTTAGCAGGCATCTCAAACAGTATTTAGCCACTAATTCATCAGTGTTGTAATAAACATGGCTTTAAAGGCAGACAGGGAGCAATTCCTGCCTCACAGGCATATACCACATAGACTAGAGTGATGCCAATGACGGAGAACACATATTCGCTGTTGGTCTCTCTTTTTTGTTACTAAAGAGAGCTTCAATTCTAAAAAGCCCCCTGGGAGTAAATTCTCTCATGGTCTTGATCTACACAAGCATAGGAAATGCAGAGTAAGGCCAGGCCAGCATTAGATATTTGTCAGTACAGTAATGAGGGTTAGCGGGTGATTTTTTTATGACATATCTACACTGACAAAAGTCCTAGTGTAAATACAATAAAAACTATATCAGCAAATGCACACTTTAGCTGGTATAAGCTGCATCGACACGAGAAGGATTTGTCAATATAGTTGTACCAGTATGGCTACATCAGCAAGCCTTTTCTACTGTCTTAGGGCATGTCTACACCCCAGCTCGAAGGGTGCTTCCAAGGGTGTGTAGTCACCTGAGTATGTACCCAGGATGGGGTAGGTTTGTACTCAGGTGGTATGCACGAGCCCTTGCCTGTGCCACCGTGGCCACACTGCTATTTTCCAGCAGAGTTGGCACACGTCTGTGTACCCACATGGGGAAGTGCCCTCCCACCTGCTGTGTAGATGTACCCTGCGCGCTAGTTCCTCATTCTGTTGAGCCATTTGAGGTGCAATGATGAGCCTGTTGAACATGATTCACTTTGGGCATTGCTGCCCCATCTCAAACCTTCCCTTTGGCTGGAAGGGTCATTCTGAAAGATGTAGCCAGGTGACTTGAGTTTCATCTGAGTCCTTCAGGTTTTCAGCCTGAATATGGCCTAGGACTCTGTTGGTCTTTTCTATGGATGATCTCCTAGGGATGGACAGGGCTCAGGCATTGTCAGCTCTTAGGCAGCCTTCACCCTGTTGCCCAAGAAGCATTGTTGGCTCTTTTGAAGGCTCTGGAAGGGCCAGGCAGGAGAACATTCCCTGCCACTATGAGGACTCGGGCACTGATGCACCTCGGTCCTTCCGATTCTCTGCCTGTGCAGACCATGGACTGTCACGCTTTAGTCTAATTTTGGTTGCTGGGTTTAGTGTACAGGTGCTGGTGTTGGCCTGTGACATACAGGAAGTCACACTAGATGGTGCTCCGTTCTGGCCTTAAACGCTATGATTCGGTGTTGTGGTGAGTCTTCCCCGTAGGAGCTGCCAGAGGTGGAGTTGTGCAATGGTTCCTTTGGCTCACAGGGATCTATGCTGCCGTCCCTGCTTGCTCTGTGTACGGGGGTCTGCTTGGAAAGGCCGTGAGATGTTCTGGGTGGGTGGCAGTGCCACCATCATGCTGATGGAAAGTCAGTCTTATGCATCAGATCTAGGTGCTGCCTCATGATTTTTTCAAGGTTTTCTTGGGACAGAGACTCCCACTGATTCTGATGGGCACTGGTCAGGCATGGAGCCAAAAAGATATTATACCCTGGCTCTTACCCCTCTCTTCTCAAAGCCATATGTGGAGGTCTAGCTTCCCATTCTGTGGGAGGCCATGAATGGAAACCCTGCACCACCCTGAGAAGGGTAGAGTGGGTTTGGCTCTCTCTCGAGAGATTTTGTTTCCATTTTAAACAAGCTGGTAGATCCAGCTTAGACACACTGGCGCGAGTTTATTGGCTCCTCCATTCCTTGACCTTTCTAACTGGCTTGGCTCTCCATAGCCCATCGAAACAGATTTGATTCTCTCACTAAGAATAAGTTTTCTTCAGAACAGCATCCTGCTCAAAGCAGCCACAAATTGCATTGCCAGCTCTCCCCCCCTCCCCGGCCTTTCATAGGCTGGGCTGTAATGTAAGGCCAGGGTTCCCAATGGGATTGCAGTTCCCATTGTGCTTTACAGCCCTTGTTTGCTTTAGCACTTTAGGCTTGTCAGTCTCCATGGGGCTTTTCCTGTAGAGCTCATTGAGGGAGCAGTAGTCACGGCTCTCACTGCACAAACAGTCTTGTGTTCCCTCAGCCCTGGTCACTCACCGGCTGTGCCTCGCTCCGGTTCCTTGTATGGAGGCAGGTTTAGGGACCAATGCAGCTGGCACTGGAACATGGCTCGATCGTCCGTGTGGATCAGCTCAAACACACTCTGGTAGATGATGTCTGACTGAAAAGAAATCAAAGGGAATGCGCCATTGAATGCCCACTCAGCTGGGAGACACATGGAGCAAGAACTGAAAGGCACAACTAATTCATCGCAGCAGCACTGCTCTGCAGCCCGTATCCCTGCCTGTGGCTCTACACCTGTGCATGGTCTGGCTTCCTCAGCTCTGCCAGACTGACTAAGTGTCGCAGGCCGACCCTATGACAACTGCCACGGAGACAAGTGTACAGCAAAGCGGTTAAATCAGTCACATGTTCGAGTCATTCAGACTAGCTGGAGAATGAAGGCTCTGAAAGTGGGGCTATAATCTTATGACTTGTTTTACTGTGGCATTCAAAGCCAGAGGCCCCCTGGCTGGGAAGCATTGCCACCAGAAAGGAGAAAGCAGCCTCCTGGACCTCGTACAAGGAACACGTGGACTGAATCAATCCGTCAGGCTATGCAAAATATAAAACGACTTTCAAAACAGTGTGCCTGAGGATTTCCTCCCATGCCTCCTGGAAATCAAACAGACTCTTTCATTTAATGCACCTCTCCCCTTCTCCCACTGCATAGGCCATGGTGGAGGGCATTCATGAAGTTCAGTTTGGGTGGCTTTTAGGGTTAATTCTTTGATGCTGAATTAAAAAGTAACAGTTTCAACTGAAAGCCAACTGTTAGCAACAGAAAAATAGAAATAAACATTACAAACACTACCTGATTTCCCTGCTGGCACCATGTTCAATGTTTGGTCCATAGTCTCTTCCCAGGCCACCTGCTGTACAAGACCTGTGCACAGCAATCTTTAAAACTACCTATAAGCCTAGGCCACCAAGTGCCTTTTCAGGTTGAGCCTCTCCCGGGGTCAGGAGTGTTAAGATCCAGGATTCTGTTCCAAACTGTTTGCTATGTGAAGTGTTCCATATGCACGGGCTAACGGGAGCAGCACGCCCCAAGTGGTTTGGATTTGTTCCCTCCATCAAAAGGCAAGACAGACAAGTTTAAACATTTTTAAATGACCCGTACGCTGGTGGTACAGTGAGGAGCTGTGCTAAACGTTCACAGCCAAATGAGAAAAGTACAAGAGGGAACAATTTGAAATTGCTGGGGGTGGAGTTCAAAACTCTTGTAAGGCCCATCCTGGACCCTCCGTTCCACAACGCTGCTCCCATTTGACAGATGTAGGGCCAGGAGCCTTCCTCAAATTCTGGCTACACAATTGATCTTCTTGTGTGTCTCCTTGGGCTGGGGATAGAGGGGACAAAAATGATCTCCTATGCCCTCCCCCTTTTAGGGGATAACTGGCTGGCCTGTACCTCCTACCCGTCGGTCTTCAGGGGTTGGCAAAGAGACGCTTGTCCCTTCCCACCCACCAATCCATGGGAAGGCTCTTTGGGGAAAGAGGGCACCAGCTGGAGTACAGGGAATGCCCCGCTCTTGCTATTAACAACCCTGCATTGAGCCTCTGAGGTCTTTTCAGAGTTGCCCTGTGTGGGGCTAGGAAAGGGACGCAACTAGAGAAACTCAACTCTGGTTCAGCTGAGAAGTCTGACATGTCAGGGAAAACATAACTCAAAGAGATGGCAGAATCCCCACACTAGCTCCGCCGCCCCGGGAACATGGGAAGTGCTTTGGAGCTGGTGCTGGATACGAAGAGGCTGTAACTCTGCAGTGTGCGGCATGGCTCCGCGTTACCAAGTAACAGCAGTGACTTCCCTGCAGCAGGTTCTGTAGCTGCCTGTCACTGCCAGGATGGGCTCCTGTTCTCAGCCCAGCCACCTCACACTGCAGCTGTATCTCGTACGCTGCAGCCAGACAGGAGATTAAAACCAACGATGCTCTTGTGTTTTTAAAAAAGGGCACTGCCAAGACCTTGATAGAAAGTTGTGCAATGTTTTTTTATTCTTGGTGACTAACAGCAGCCCACTGGAAGCTTTGATAAAAAAAAAATCCTTTTCTTGCCACATGTGCTGTTGCCAGGAAGTAAGGTTTGATTTTCCCTGGCAAGGCCTTCTTCAAAATTTTTACCTTTTGGGATAAACTCTGCACCGTGGCGATGGCTTCACAACATTCTGATGCTGTCACATTCCACCATGGGCCATTTTAGACCTGTTGTTAACAGGATCTTACACTAGATCTGAATTTGTCCCCAACAATAAGAGGATATCCTGTAAGATATGGGCTTGCTGCAGAAATTTCTGGGAGTTATGCAGGAGGTCAGACTAGGTGATCATTCTGGCCTAAAACTATGCTGACCATATACTTATGTGACTATACTACTTATATAGTCGCATTACTGTAGTATCTGAGCACCTCACAATATTTACCAGGCTCCATGTAAGCAGTGTATCCGGTGTTTTGGCTTGCTGGCTTGTATTTAAAGACCCTTCGGATGTCTTACAAATGTGGGACAAGTTCATTAAAACTAAGATGACCTCACTTTCCCCCCTAGTTTTATAGGACCTCTAATTAAAAATCATGTAAACTTGCTACTATGTCTTTAGCATTCAAAGCATGATACTGTGCCAAACTTCGAAACAAACAGAATGGGAAGAAACTGGATTTAATGTAAACAGAACCTAATCATGCTAAATGTTAGCGACAAGAGATAGGGCAGAGAATAAGTAGAAGTGTGCCATTCTTCAACCCCTAAAGTGCTACCTGATAGCTATTTTTGACATAAATGCAAATCAAGGAAGGAAACGCTTTGGAGAATAAAATGAAGTGAGGTAGGTTGTTAATACACTGCATCTAATGCTACGAATAGTCAATAAAATTACAGTTGATTGTTTGGTTCTGTGGAGGGGACTGTGTTCAAAGCTGGCAACATTTTTTGCAATAACTTTTTCCAGAGAAAAATGCAGATGTGGCAACATGGAAACATTCTGTGAATTCATGTCGATTTCAACAAATTAATTACTGAAAAAAATTGAATGTTTTGTTTCAACATTTTCTAAACAAAAGGTTTCAACTTTTTGGTTCAAAAGTTCCTTTAATTTTCATTTAAAAAAAACACTGTAAAAATGTTGTAAATGGTTGGAATCCAAACAAAACATTTTTATTTTGTCAAATGAAATGTTTCATTTTCACCCACAACAATATTTTTTCCAAATTGATTTCCTGAAAATTTTGAAAAATGTTGGGTTTGGTTTGACCCAAAACAATTGTTTTTTGTGACTGTATGTGTGTGGGTGAGAAAGAGAGAGAGAGAGAGAAAGAGAACTGCTAACAAACAAACATTTGTCTACCTCTGTTTATGGTGGGAAACGTAATAGGCACTAAGATGGGAGCTGACATTTCAGCTCTTGGCATTTCACAAACTACAGAAAAAAAGAAAAAAATCCTACTGAGGTTGTTGCCTTTTTCCAGATGAGATGAAGCAGAAGGCTTATTTCAGAACCCAACACGGTGAAAAAATATGTTACCTTTGGATAGTGCTTTTATAATCACACTGTGGCAGGAAACAAAATATATCTTTCACAAGAAGGAATTGTGTAAAGAGAATATACATGTATACTCCATACAATTTCTAACTTTAAGGCTTCATTGTACACCCTTATTTCTGTCCCTTTGTGCATATGTGTTACGACACCGTCTTTAATGACATAAGCATGTTGTTTTTCTCAAATCATGCCCTGAGGGAAATCCTGGCCCCATTGAAGTCAATGGGAGTTTTGCTACGGACGAGGTAACACAGCTGCATTCGGGTTTGAAATGCTGCCTCCCTTAACTGCAATTCTGGAGATGGCTGAGTTCACCATGAAGCCTATTAGCTGGGCTACAAACACACCAGCAAATGTTCATTATTACTCTGCTTTACTTAACAGACCTGCTTTGCTGGTGCCCTACATCTGGCCTAGGTCATTTCCACCAGTGCAAAGCATGCACACTCACTTTGCACAGGAAAATGATGAATCCGGCACAATGCGCAGCAAGGGAAGTGCAGTTTAATGCTATAATTACATACTTTGAAACTCTATAGCAGTGATACTCAGATCGCAGTGGTTCCGGAGCCAAATTAGCGATCATTATCCAAAAGAGCCACAGTACTGTGAACTCATCGTTTTATTTACTATAGTACTATATATTCCTATTTAATCAGTATGAGAGGGAAATATTTAGTGTGTGTGTGTGTGTACACACACACACACAC